GTGCCTTGCTGAAGGGGACGCGGTGCCTTGCTGAAGGGGACGCGGTGCCTTGGTGTTAACTGTGTCAATTCTAGCAGTTGAGGATGCTCACTGCACTTCGTTGAGAGGGTGAACTGCAAATTAGCGGCAAGTCCTCTGCACCTGTGCAAAGCTGAGAAGTCAGGGAAAGGCCTGGAAGGTCCTGGGAGGTCTGAGAAGACCAGGGTGAGCCCTGTGCATTGCATTTACTTGGGCAGGTGACTGTTAAAACTAGGCCCCAGAAATTCTTCCTAAAGGCTCAGCCTGGAGTCCTCCCCTTCCCCCGCGGGCACTCCAAGCCACCCTCCCATCCCCGCTTGCGCGGACCTTAGACTACAACCAACCGCTTCTCTTAGCACTTAGTTACCCAGAGAACACTGGAAAGGTACTTACTTAGAGTGGCTTTCTCTGGTTCCTCCTTGTGCTCCGGAACCTGTTGCAATGAAAACAGGGTCACTCAAATTCCACAGGATAATAAAGCAGAAATAGATGACATATAGAAAAGTGACAAGGCCCAGACATTTCACTAACACCTAGAACTCCTAGCCTTGGGTGACCGCCTTCGGAAACTGCTCAAAGTCCTCCGCATCCTCTAAGGCACAGCCTGGAAGTATAAGAGTTGTCCTGGTCACCTCCCCCACTTCACGCACCCTTGGGCAAATCCCTACTCGTTATATGGCCTGACTCAGACTGCCGGAGGCAGTGGGGAACTGGAAAGTCGGAGAAAATGGGCCTTTGTGTATCTCCTGCTGCAGGCGGGTGGGTGCTGGTCCACTGGTGAGGCTGGTCCACTGTCTGTCCCGACCCCAATTCCCTGTCTGCTCCCTCTAGGAACAATTCAGCACTCCTTTTCCAGTTTCAGGTTGGTTTCAAATTCCTCAGTCCCAAACAGTAGCCCCATCCCAGTCTCCAAACCTGCCTTGTCATCAAAGAAGGGACAGGCATGGCTGAGACATGCTTTTCCATGTCTCCAGTTCAAAATAGAGTCATTTCCTTTCAAGGGGAATTGAGGACCCAAAGGGTAACTAGAAAGGAAAATCAGTATGGCTAAAGGTAACCATCTAGACCTTAAAGGAACGATCTAGACTATGACCTAATTCTATGGGTTTGACACTAATTTTCTAACTTTGCTGCAGGAGGACCTACAAACCCATCCTACAGAGCGGTGGTTCCCCCAGGCATTGATGTCCATCTTTAAATTTTTAGCCCTCCAGGAACAGCAATCCGAGATATCTCAGAATTAACTGTCTCACACTTACTCCCTCTCCCTTCCCACCCCTAACTATGATTGTTTTATTCTATTTTCTAAGCAGTTGCTCCACTACAGAGAGGAAAGTGTAGGTCCTGCTTTTGGCATAGAAGCCCTAACTTCCCATGTATTCAAGGGGGGGGGGGTGGTCCAAGATCCCCATTCTATCTATTAACTTAGCTTTAGTAAACTAAAATTAGAAATAACTTCGATAGCCTTTCCTCGGGTAGAGAAGGCCAGGCTCAGAAACCGACCCCCCCCCAAGTTATTGTGGAAAAAGTGCTAAGTGACTTACTGTTTTTCTTTTCTAGTGTGTAGGGTAGCTGAGGGTAGAGCTGTCTCCTTCTGAGCCTGGTGCTGGCTGGAGTCTCTCACTTCCCTATCGCTGCTCCAGGAACGAAGCATCTGCACTTGTATGCTCTTAACCTAATTTATGGTGGGAATTATATTTTGGCTTGTCAACTCACAAGCCAAAAAACAAAGTTTATTGGAATCACGTGCTCGTAAATAGCCACTCAGGTCCCCTCTCCGCAGAACCATAAATAACCTTTGGCTTTAAACTTTTATTCACTAAATAAAGGTTCACTGCAACTGTTCCCTGGGATTTAAATAGTCCCAAATATCCAGAATGCAAGAGAGGTCATAGTCATATCAATACCCCAGGCTTTTCAACTTGCATCTTTTCAGAGAAGGCCGTTTAAATTGGGGGATAGTGCTATTTGGAAAAAGCTGGTTGGTGGGCATGCCTTATGATTCTTTGGCTGCATTCGCTGTGAGTACCATCAACTCCTTTATTCCAATCATTTTCTAGCATTAGATGTGGTAAATAGGAAAGCCAAAAGCTACTCCTTACTTGCTTATCACAAAAGTTGGAAATTATTTGAAATTTTGCTCAAGTTTCAGTAGAGAAAGTGGCTAGGGAGAGGCTGGGTGGCCTTGGCGGGGGGAGAGGCAGTTGGGATTAACACTTAGTTTTTCTCTGTATTGTTGATGGGGCTTGGTGAAAGCTGAAGATAGCCACATGCCTAGAGGTTTTTATAATTTGCTTAGATCTGAAAGAGAAGTCTTTGCAAGTGACCAAACTGCTTAAAACAGCAAGACTTAGGTTTGGTGAAGTGAGAAAGCCCAGAATAGCCCCCATCGGACTCTGGCAAGTTAGGCTCTAAAGAAGGTTATAAAACAATAAAACAGCCCTGGTGTGAAGGGGCCAGGGTGTGAGGAAGCACAGGAGGCCCTTAAAGAACCTGAGCCCAGGAAGTCAGATGTGCACAACCCCACTGTGTGCCCAAATTACTCAGTACAAGGCTCAAGGGTCCCTGAAGGCCCACATCTTAGTGAGCTCTTCAGTGGCTCCTCCCCACTGCTGCCCCCATCACAGGGAAAGATTGAGAAAGAAAGAAATGTAAGACTATCTCTCTATCCTACTGAGCAATCCAGGAAAGGGGCTGGGCACTCCACAGGAGAATGTGGCCACCTCTGCTCGTGGGAGATAAGAGAGACAGGAGTGGGGTAAATGGAGGAAATGTCCCCCAGCTCCCAGGAAGAGGCACAAATAAAAAGAAAACTGGGCCCCAGCAACCTTCAATGGCCCTCCGGAGGTGCCACAAACCATGTGAAAATGTGATTATTTTTCTGCTCTGATAAAATAATGGATGTTCTGCATAGATTTATTGAGCACACACACACACACACACACACACACACACACACACACACACACACACAATTTATAAATCAAATGCAATTACAACAGTTCCTATCAGAAAGTTCTACAGCCCAGAAAAGAGATTCTTTGTATACAGATCTTTGCATGCTAATTCCCAGCCATTACATGTGCATTTCCAACCCACTTCCTGATTTGTCTCTCATTAGCCAGAAAACAGGAGATTGTTAGTCCAGACACCAGGACATCCATTTCTTCTTTAAAAAAAAAAAAAAAATCCCATCAGCCATGTGAGGAGACTTTGTGTTTTGTTTGGTTGGTTTGGCTTGATTTTTTTTTTTTTAACAACCGGTGGCATATTCTTAAAGTAATGGGTAGAGATAACCCTTTTAAAAAATGGGGTTTTGGCAGCACCAGAAGAACAGCTTTGAAATGAATCCTTGTTAATCACTGAGAAGGGATAATTGACATTGGGGAAGTGAAGGAAAGCTTTGATTTTTAGGTTAAAATTAATTAAAGGGTAGATGACTTTCCAGGTCATTGTGATGACCCTTTGGTAAGGAAGGAGTTGAGATGGGGTGAAAACTATTGAGAAATGGTGTGTGCACACACAGCGCCTGGTGTCTAGTTGGGGATCAGTAGAGACCTTTTTTTTTTTGATGAAAGATTATGAAGGATGGTGTCTGAGATACGCTTGCAAACTTCACTGTGGGTTACACATGAAGACACAGCCTCCTCTGGATATTTGAGAGAGAAACAGGAAAAGAGCCCTATGTAGGAAAATGGAAGGAAGGAAGAAAACATTGAAACAGACATCTTTGTTTTCTGATCTGAGAACCCCCAGGCAAAATGATTTAGGAGCAAGTGTGTGTCTTGCTCCAGCCACTCATCTTTTGTTATTCCACCCCACCTCCAGTGTCCTAGGATTTGTGAATGAAAGAAAGAGCGGGGGATCTGGCGGAGGGAAAGTAAGCATCAGCAGGGAAAGCAGATCCAGTGCACCAGCCTGTTTCAGGTTCCAAGGGCTCCTCCACCCCACTCCCTGTAATTGAAGGCCCTAGCAGGGACTTGGGAATGCCAGGCAAATGCCCAAACTCTGAGCCCCAACCAATATCCTGTCTCCCAAAGACTTTCATTGTTGGTAGTAGAGGTAATCAAACAAGAAGGGGAGGCAAAGAGGGAGGAAGCCAGGCAATGGTTGGTGGCACTTGCCTTTAATCCCAGCACTTGGGAGGCAGAGTTCCAGGCTTGCCTGGTCTACAAAGTGAGTTCCAGGGTAGCCAGGGATACACAGAAAAGCCATGTCTCAAAAAACAAATGAACAAACAAACACACAAACAAATCCAAAACTGTAAGGAATTAGTTTCCCAGCAAACTAGGACCCTGGGTATTGCCTTTTCTCATTTAGCTAGAAAGAGCCTATTCTGAAATTTCTGCCTGGTGGGCTCCCCTAATATAGGATCCCCTGTAAGACTTCTCCAACCCAGATGTCAGAGCTGCTCCCAGGAAGGTGAGAGGGAAGGGGCTCCAGAAGACAGCACCAGATATTTCCAGTATACTGCAGGTCAACCCTTCAGCACACCCTAAAGAAAATCATACTAAAGTTTTCTCATAAGAAAAGATGTTAAGTGTTCAAGCTAAACCTTTGCACAGCAAATAGGGACAGATGGGATGAGGGTTAGGATAAATTCCCTGGCCAAAGACACATGGTACATGCCCAGAACTTGTGCTTAATTAAGGACACAGGATAGAGTTGCAGCCAGAGAAGAACTGAACAGGGATACCTAAGCAAGTAAGAAATGTGATTCTCTCCTCTTGGCACTATGCTACTGAAGTTCCCTTCTTCTCCACAATGAAGCTACTTAAGTAGTTTAGAGTCCTCCTAAAGGAAAAGGCCCTTTGTAGGAGATAAGAACCTCTCTTTCTAGAAAAGAGCTTGGGGGCAGGATGTCTGACTTGGGGTCAGAGGCTAGAGGAGGAGCCAGTAGCTCCAAGAACATTTAAGTGCTAGAACATTAAGTGCTAGCTAGATGGCATGCTAGTAGGATTGCTCCTTTAGACTGTGGACAGAACTTCACAGGGCACAACTGGAGGCAATAATTTCAGATATAATCTAACTCGGACTCTTGGTGTAGTCAAGAGAAGTAGCTTGAAAAAGAGTGGCAGAAAGTAAATCTATAGGCAAGAGTCATGGAAGCCAGAGCTAAAGAGGTGGCAGCCTGGTCTCAGGGAGTATGCACATATGTGTGGGTTATAGCCTGAAGTGCTGTTTATGAAATTCTTTATAAAATAGAAGAATTTCATGCAGGAACAGTGGCACATACCTGTAATAAGTCCCAGCATTTGAAAGGCTAAGGCAAGGTGACTGAGAGTTTGTGACAAGTTTGCGCTTCATAACAGGATCCTGTCTCCAAAACGTTTTTGTTTGTTTCAAAGAAATGAAAAGGCCTTTGAAGATTATAAGGATAAGTCCTTGCTAAAACACACCTTGTTATTACTCTGGCCCAAGCTGAATCTCAGGTTTAGCCATAGCCTGAATGCCTATGTCACAGGGTGCAGGTAGATTAAGTAAAGGGGGCGCCTAGCTTTTTGCTTTCCTACTCCATCTCATTCACATTCCAGGAGAGTAGGATGCCCCAGAGCTGTAAAAGAATGACTATCTGGGTAGGTATGACTGCCAGGAGGACAGGGTAGTGTGGAAGGCACTGAAGAAGATAGCACTGAGCTCAGGAGAGACTGCAAGCCTTCTTGAGCAGCTCAAAATGTACCTATGGGAGTACAGGGTTACCAACCAAGGTGCCAAGAGCTACTTCTTCCTGGGTGGAAACTTAATGTGTGTAGGTAGTAGACATTGAGTCCTCAGGGGTCATTGCTGATGAGACCTAACCTAAATTTATTTTATTTTTTGTTTTGTTTTGCTGAGATAGGGACTTGCTAAGCAGTCTAGGCTGGGCTTGAACTCCACACGAAGTACAAGCTGGCCTCAAAAACTAAAATGTTGATCCTTCTTCCTCAGTTTCCTTAGTGCTGGGACTATAGGTGTGCACCATCAAGTCCCAGTTCAGGCCTCTTGTACTCTCCATTAAATCCAAGGCTTCAGTGAGTAAACCAGTTTGCCTCTTTTGGCTGTAAAGGCCAAAGTCTTACTTATGAGAAAGCAGGGTCAATAATAATAAGAATGGAGTGTTAAATTCTTGTGTGCCAAAGCACCACATTAAGTACTTAGCTAATATATAGTCAACACATCTAGTATTTTACATGAAAGTAAAAATCAAGGCAGGTGTGGTAGGCTCACCCCTGTAATCATGGCACTCAGGAGACTGAGTCTAAGGCCAGTCTGGTAGCATAATGAGATTCCATCTTTAAAAAAAGAAAGAAAGAAAGAAAGAAAGAAAGAAAGAAAGGAAAAAGAAAAGAAAAAAGTAAAATCCTCATAGAATCCTTGATGATACTCTTATTTATTTCTACTCTCAAAGGAGGAAACAGGCTTAGAGGTTTTGGCCTGCTCGCCTAAAGCCACACAGCAAGTATATGGTAGAGTATGGGTTTTAAACCAATTAAGCCTGAATTTAGCTTAGAACCTGCTCTCTTTGAGCTCTTCAAGTCCAAAATGAGGAGTGCACAGATCCTGAAATTTCATGTATAAAATGGAAAAAAATGACTCATCTATAATGTAGTAACTTCAAAACAAAACAGACAGTCATGATTGTAGTTCCAGGGGCTCAGGGCATGCTCAATGTAGACATAGGGAAGGAACTCGGCATAGGGAGAATAAAGAGCTAAGCAAGAGAGACCCTGGTCCTGTGGCTCTCAAACCTAAGTATACATCCTCCTCACTGCCTTAGGGAGAAATTTTCAGGATGCCCAGACATTGGAATTCAGTGTGTTTGGGGTGGAACCTAGAAACTTCATTTATGCAGATATTTGAGCATGGCCTTTGCTGAGAATCATTGCCCTGGAGTAGTCAAGAAAGGGACATTGCTAGAGGACAACAGAGGATCAGTGAGGCAAAGTGAGTTGAAGTCGGTGTCACACTTGAAGCAGGACTAGCCAGCAAAGCACACAGCATGCCTGCAGTAAGCTTAGGGGTGTGGCCATGGTGTTGGATAGTCCTGCACATCTGCCCTGTTCTCAAGCTGTGGAATGCATCTTGGGATTCCCCCAGGCTTTCAGAGCATCAGAAAGGTGTCACAAGGCCCAGGCTGTGTTCTAAATAAGCAGGGGTAGGTCAGTTGCCTTGCTCAATGTTGTGCTTTCCCAAGGCTGCCCGTTCTAGGTACCAGAATTTGGAGCAGAGTGAAAGACAGGAAGTGAGGCTCTGCAGAGGAGGAGACATCTTATTGGGGTCCTGTGGTTAACAGCTTGTTTCACCACAAGATCCTCCTTGCCTGCTCCTAGAGAACCGCAAATCACGCCCTCTCTGGGTAGGCGAGGGAAACAATGTGGCCTTTCACCCCAGAATCAGGCTTCAGGCTCCGAGAAACTCAGAGCTGTCTTTGCTGCGGGCAGCTGGAGGATAAGTGACCACACCATTCACCCTTGTCTGATGCTAAGCACGTTGTGCGAGCTGAAGTGGAAGGCGGGGTAGAGGAAGGGGTGGCTCTTGTGCCCTCCCCTTCCCCTCCCACCCAGGGCATCTGCGGCATCCGCGAAGCCAGCGAGAGGCTTGTCCTACAGCGCCTCCTCCTGGACAAAGCTCCAGACAGCCGAACAGGGACGCAACCAGCCCTGAAAACCCAAGGCCAGGCACTTCCTTCCTGGGGCTGAGATCTCCCGGCATCAGAAGTTTGTCCTGCCACGTCCACTGGAGAGGCAGAAAGGAGTCCAGAAGTCCTTGAGGCTACTTCTCACCGCCCCACCCCCAACTCAGACAAGTTTGTGACCCAGAAGTGTGACAGGAGGAAAATCCCCCAAATTTGTCCATTTATTTATTTATTTATTTACTTGATTGCTCTTTGCTGAGCCTGAGCCCTAGGGTGTGCTGTGCTGGCTTATCAAGATACAGGAATGGCTGGCCTGAAGTTTGGTAGTTTGAACAGAAGCCAGGAAGAAAGGCCTTTCCCCAGAGCAGGCAGCATCAGCCTGAAAAATCTATGTATTTCCCCAGGGTGTGTGTGTGTGTGTGTGTGTGTGTGTGTGTGTGTGTGTGTGTGTGTGTGTGTGTGTGTACATAGTTGGAAAAAATTCTACTTACTACTAGCTCATATTTGCAACCTGTTTCTAACGTACAGACAAATTGGGTTGGGGTGATAAGTCTAGATCAAAAGTAACTGTAGTCAAGAGTAAAATTGGTGACTATCTTTAGATAAAAGGTTGGAAGAAAAGACGAGCAGCAAATTATGAGGTTGGGGTAATAGATCAGGTTATCTCTTCCTCTCGCCCCATCCCCCATCTGTGCAGTGCTGGTTCAATCTCTGGGCTGGGTTATTTCACTGCACATGCGCTAGGCGTGCGCAGCCCCGCACTGGCACTGCAGAGGCTCTGAGCAATGCCCGCCTCAAACACAGTACCCTAGGCTTCACCGCACTTGGCTGCAGAGGCACTTGGAAATCCTACCTAAAAGAGGCAGGGAATGTAGTTTTCTTTCTCAGGAAAATCTGAATTAATGCCTCAACTAATCTTTCTAGTTTGCTGGTCCAGTTCTGTCAAATTAACAAAAACTCCCTATTGTTCATAAACACACTCAGAATTATCTTTCGGATCAGAATCTTCATATTTGGGGTACAGCTTTCCCTGAGTGGTCTATCCATGGGGGTGTGCCCCACCCTGCCTTCAGAGAGCACAATTTCTCCTTTAGTTTTGCAAAACTATCAAGTCTAGGGGATACTTTCTTTTGAAACAATGGTATCTATTTTCATCATTTCCGAAAAAGTGCACCTAAATTGGATATAAATCGGAATTCCGAGTTCTGGGTTGCTTCTCCACAGCTTCCTGTGCCCTCGCATACCCTCACTGGCCGCCGCACTGCGACAAGGCCGTAAATACCTCTAACAGCTGCCTGCCAGCCCAGGGTGAAATACTGTCTTTGTTCGGGTTTCCCCTGCCTCTCAGGCTCAGAGAACAGAATTCTGGCAAAATCTACTCATTTGTAGAAAGATATGATAGGAAAACCACTCTTGGTGTTTAGTCCTTGTTCTTGGCTACATTTGCAATAGCCAGTCTCGCTTTTTCCTAGTTCTGCGGGAGACTGACTGTCAGCTCACGTCCACAGCAGACCAGAACATTGGCTCCCAAGTCTATAAATAGAGGTTTGGACCCAGGACACTGGGAATTGTGCCCACAAACCTCTGAGCTTTTAGGCTCCGAACATTTCAAATTTTTCGTTTCTTTTCCTTTCCATTTTCTTTTTTAGTTTTTGTTGTTAGGGTCACAAGAACAATGGAAGCGGTTCTGGCCATACCGTCTCTTACACTTCCCTTGTAGAGAAAATGGGTGACTTGTAAAATATTTATTTCTCAAGATGCAACCGACCACTTTTTCCCAAAAAGCTTTTAATGCTACCACAAGTCTTACAAAGATTCCCTCAGTTCTCCATATCTTCACATGGCATCACCTTCCTCTCCTAAATTGGGACCATCTTCGTCACTGTAGCAGGCTGGGCCACCAAACCTACAACTTGGCCACCAGAACACCCAGTCCACCCCCACCCTCACCCAGTCTCAGAACCTCGAGTCTGCCCTCAGCCCCACCCAGCTTCAACCGACCTAGCTGCAGGGCCTATGGACCCAGTCAAGGAGCTTGCTTTTCAAAAGGGAATGCTTTTTCTGTCTATCAGAGAATGACCTCAGTGTCATCGTTGTGTGAAGGGAAACTGCTTACAAGATACGGACACTCCAAATCCAAAAATCCCACTTCAGACTGTGAACACCCGGAGTTATTGGCCCAGAACAATTCTGCAGCCGTCAACTAGTCCTCCATTTTGAAATGAGTGATTCTATCCTTAATTATTTTTTAAAAAACACTTTCTTATAAATATACCACTTATTGTCTACGAATACTTGTACAGCCAACACTGTTATACTGGAATATTTGGACAAACAATATGGACTTATCGATGCGCACTCTGGGGACTATAGCCCACCACCATGTACACTCTCATGCGCAATGCGGCAGATTGCCTGAGGTTTCAATGCTTCCCTATGTGTTCACGAAGGAACAGGAAATAGGAGCTGCAAAGTGCGTGGTTAAACACCACCCAAAATTGTTGGGGGAAAACCAACATTAGGTTCTGCAAAGGCTTTCTTTTCTTTTATTCCCTGTGTGTTTTGGTTCAGGAATTTCAAAGAAGTAAAATGTTGCTGTGTGGCAGTTATTGGTAAGTGAAAAATTACCATAATGCATTTAGAAAGAAAAAAAAAAAAACAACAAAACCCCACTCTTTCACCACTCTGACAAATGGGAAACACACGCGATGTTTGAACTTAGGAATGCTTCGCATTTCTCAAATATCTATTGGGTTTACCCTAAAACCTGCACCAGATTTTCCGATCTTACATTCCAAAACAAACATCCATTTTGTGACATAAAATAGTACAAATTCACCTGATACATTATCGGATGTAGGAGGAACCTAGCTTGAGTTATTACCAGTTTTTCCCTAAGCATTAGAGAAACGTATTAAAATAGCTAAACCGTCATTTCATACACAAGGCCCAATAAACTATAAACCCTAAAAAATTGGCCTCGCTCAAGAAACATCCTGAGTACACAGTACCCACCCCACCCCCACCCATGCCCCAACCCCTGAAAAACACCTGTTAGCTCTGACCACCGTCAACCCCACAGCGCAGCATTCTGTACTATAGGAAACCTTTATTGACAGATCACCC